AGTCAACGGTATCAAAATTTAGAAACGGAGAAACGGAGGGAGTATACTCCATACTCAGGGCCGCATACAAGGTAAGCAAGTTGCTGCCCTGCAAACAAGATTATGATTTGTAGGCTTCAGAACGCAGCAGGCGACTCTCATGAGTTGACCCAGCTGGCAGTAAGTCGTCGAGCATCCTGTCTATCGCCTTCTTTCCAAAATATAATCATGTCTAATATTTAAAATTTGTATGAAAATATAAATACTTATACCATTATTTATTTAGAGTATTATTAATTTGTCCCATCAACCATTACCTCCCATTTATTTTTTTTCACATTATTCCCAACCATTCCTCATTTAACAAGGACATCAAAGTTTTTTTCCTCTCCTCAAGATTAATCTCTGGCAAAAAAATTATCTAGAATTATAATATTTTTGAACAAATTGTGTATATTATAGAGAGGTTTGCAAATATGTAATGTCAATGATTTTTCCACATGAGTAATCAACAAAAGTTCTCGTAAATATATGACCTCTGTAAAAAGAAGACATCGCCTGAGGGTTAATTTTGTTTGTTATTCCATTGAACCGTTCCAGGTCCAGCATGCTTCACATTAGGCCTTGTTCACTTAATCCTTCAATCTCTCTCTTTTGGAGATTAAAAAGCCTTAATGATTTGAGTGCATGCCTTACCTATGATGTTTCTATTTTGGGTTGAACATCGTAATAAGTAATCAATCAGCTGCTGTGATCATTCATTAATAGCTAGCTAGTACAATGGTTGAGTTCATATTAATATGGTCAATTGGTTCCATACAGTTGGCCATTTGTAATTTCATTTTGAAGATGACGATTCCTCCATGCCAAAATATATATCATCTCCACTACTTTACATAAGCTCTGACTTTTTTTAATAATAAATAAAAATCTGACCTCTATATTTGTGTGTGTCTATATATATATATATATATACAGCCAAAAATAAGCTCTGACTTGTACGACCAGAGTAGACTTATACCATCAGAGCAAGTTTAATAGTAGAGCTAATGACTAGCTATAAACAGGGACGGATCTACAGTAATACCATCGGTGTCAGGTGACACCGATGACTTTTGGCAAAAGCTATACTTAAACCACCTATCCATATATTATAACACTATATTCTAAATATAATTAACATGCTATGACACCGATAGACACGTTGTGATACCAACGAACTAAATTTCTGGATCTGCTACTGGCTATAAATCAATATAAAAGTATCATCCGAGCGAGTTGTATAGATGACTTGTAGTCAACCATCATCTCTCTCCTATATACTAGTATATAATATAGACACCCAGCTGATCAATAATTAACGTTGTTCGATACTAATAAAGATATTGGATGCTTTTTGGAAGCTCGGCGACCAATAACGTGTGATCTGATATAGCCAAAGTTTAATTTCTCATTAATCAAGTAGATTAATTACATAATATAGCTCAGCCGCGCCTGACCTTTTTGTTATACTAACGTTTGGAATTTCGTTATCAAGCTGATCCACATCGATCGGCCTCGTATGAATATGTCAGTGTATAAAGCACCATCCCATGACCAAGCCCCGCGCCATACTGAGCTGGCGAGAGCTGCGAGTACTTGAATTTCTCCAGGTAAGTGCATTTGCTTTATTGTTCGATCTCTAGTTACTGAACCAGATGAGATGATGATCAATTATATTCCTGATGATCTTGGGATGTTTTGGTCACGCCAATGGCGGAGTCAGAATTTTTTTTAAACATAGAACTCAATTAGTTGAATTTATATAATTTTGTCTTTATCTTCTAATTTTTGAAGTTTTAAAATGAAATTTCAATGCATATTTAGGATCAGGAGTAGGGCTGTAGCCCTAGCTGCCCTACTCCTGTATCCGCCCCTGGGTCACGCTATTTTATCATCTGAGTGACTTATTGCTATTTTAATATGGTCTCAAAATGTAATTAATCGTCGTGGCTACAATTAATACTGGTGAAAATTTTCATTCGGTATATATTTATGGTCCCTCCACTTCTGCTGGTAACAATTACTAGTGTTTGGAGATGTTGGATTGAGGAGGTACGGATTGTTTTGTCTAGCTAATCATTTGTTTACCTGGGAGCATAAAGTCGGATCGGATAACTAATAACATAATACTTGTTCTGTTTTATGTTTTATATTATAAGTCGTTTTAATTTTTATTTTATTTTATTTCGTAAAAAATACTATGTTTGTAGAAAAAATCGCAACATCAACAACATCAAAATAATTTTATCAAATCTAAGTTTGTTTTATGTTAGAAATGCTACAATGTTTTGACTAGTAAAAAATTAAAAATGTCTTATAATAAAAAAAATGCTGGAGTATTAATTAGCTAACTTAACGTGATAACTGATTGGTACTTAGGGCATCTTTATTTGGGATTAGGCTTTTAAGCCAAATTTTTGGCTTATATGTTTTGTAAGCAAGTGGCTTTGAAGAATTAAGTTTAATTGTAGAGTCGTACCCTCATTTTAAATAAGAAAAAAAAAAGCTCTCCAATCTAAATTTTTGGCTTAACAGTATATAAGAGTGGGTTTTTTTGCTTTAAAAAAGCCAAATAGAAAAATTGCTCGTTTGTTTAGGCTTAGATATTTTTGCTCATAAGCTAGCTTATAAACATGGCCTAACAAGATTGGCAGCAAATTAAGGAGGGGGTGGCGTGGTTGTGGGTGGAACCATCCAATTGGGATCGAGTTGGGACGATCGGAGGATAAAGATGTGATTAGGAGCCTCTTGCGCTCCTGCTTACAGAGCTTGGGTCGTATTGTTGAACTCGTGCCCTATACATACCAGCTGATGTTGGTGTCTTGCGTTGGTAGAATGACTTCAGCGACCATGGAGAACTCTGAGCACAGGATATGGACTTGAGAACAGAGGAAAGTATAGGGGAACTCGAAATTGAGAGGATGATTCCGTCCATATATAATATCAAGAGGCTTTCTACGTACCGTGTTTTCGATCTACTGATAGTATAATTAACCTACGGCCTTTCATCTTTTTTTTAATCTAAGGGATCAAATTGATTTAATGATAGTAGAAACGTTTTTGGGTATAATAGTATATATAGAGAAGTGAGTGTGCAGAAGGCCGGATATATAAATTTGTAAACATGCGTTGTACTTTTAGTTGTGCTGAGAGTTTGGCCGATCGAGCAGAGTGTCCTGGACACGAACGGCGAGCAGACGACGGCATGGAGTTGAGGGCGGCTAAGTCTTCCGATGTGTCTCGCCGGCCGGTGGGTACGGTGGCACGCATAGAAGGGAGGCGGAGGCTGTGATCCATGACTTGGCGAGACTGCGTCACGCTCGGCTAGGGCTGCCGTCGGGAAGAGATCGATGAAGTTCCTACCGATAGATGCGCAGACCGTTGCCTGATTGGTTGGCGCGCGTTCCGCATGCTGCGTAGTCATCCCAGTAGTAAGGGCGTTTACAGTGCGCCGATATGGCGTTCAGCCTCACTCCCACGAACCGAATATTCGTGTCCACGTACTCAAACCGTTCGGCCTCCTCAGGTTCGCGTAGCCATCTTTGGCTACAAGTTCCTCGTCAGTTTTGCGCAGGTGGGCCCACACTCTGCGACACGTGACGCCGACGCTGCCCTCCTCACTTCCACCGCCCGACGCCGCCAAATAGAGGAGAGCATCGCCGGAGAGGACAAGCCCCCATGCGATGCCCCCACACACCCCATGCAAGGGGGCGGCGGTCGTCGCCGGCGAGTCCACTACCCGAGCTCGACGGGGCGGCGTTAGCAGCCTGGGAGAGACGAAGATAGCGAGAACGGATCTGGCAAGCTCAGCGGCGCTGCCGTCCGAGGGCGGATATGGCAAGCTCGGCGGCGCCGCCATCGTCATCCACCGGAGAGGAGAGGGAGAGGGAGAAGGCCCGTGCCTAGCGCCGACATCGTCATCCACCGGCCCGCTGCTCCTAGCCGCCCCGCCGCTCGGGGGTGGGGGGGAGGGGGTGGTGCGCCGCTGCTAGGGTGTAAATGCAGACGGGAGTAAATGAATCTCAAAATTAAGCACGGAGTTAGTAAAAAAAGTACTCCCTCCGTCTTAGAATATAAGCATTTTTAAAGTTGGACACGGTTATTAAGAAAGTAGGTAGAAATAAATGGTGGAGGGTTGTAATTTGTTGAGTAGTGGAGGTAAATGGGAAAAGTGAATGGTAGAGAGTTGTGATTGGTTGGGAAGAGAATATTGGTGGAGAAATTATTATATTTTAGGACAAATTTTAAGGGCTAAAAGTTGTTATATTTTGGGACGGAAGGAGTACTTAATGTCCTTACAAATTGACGGCTCAGATCATTCATACTACCAGTAGAGAGCACCATATAAAACCTCTAAAATATCAAATATATCATTCTCTTCTTGATGTTCACTACAATGCTCTCTACTGATAGTAAAAAACAATCTGATGTTCACTACAATGCTCTCTACTGATAGTAAAAAACAATCTGAACCACTGATCTCATTTGATCGAAGGGTTTAGATCTATTTATACTACCATCCCAGTTAGCGGTAGTAGAAACTTGAGGGGCAAAATTGTCAAAAAAAAAGGTGTGTACAGGTATAATCGCTATTTAGCAGTGAGTAAACTTTTTTTCTCCATTTTTTCGCTTTTTCGATGGAATATAAGCGATGTTAGCGGAATGGATGATCACATATTGATCTAGACAAAAAAAAATAAATGACAAAGTTACCCCTATCATTATATTAGTAATTTACTAATTTACCCTTAATAACGGACAATTCAAATCATTTATACTGGTAGTATAATACTACTGGTAGAGAGTATCGGAGCATCACTCATCTTATCTAGTAACTCTACCTAGTCCAAAGGCTATTTGTAACATATCTTAAAACAATTAATTTTGATCTGATAATGATATGTCTCCTTACGTATTCACTTACCTTGACGTTATAGACCTGCCCCTTTTTAACTGTAAAGAAGGACACGGAAGGTAAGCTAGGCCCAATTTGAGATACATATAGCATGGCGGACAAGTTACAGCACACAGCTGATACGATGCCCAATGATCTTACGATTGATTTGTTAACAAGAATTACAGATAATTTTTCAACGAAGCACCAAATTGGTCATGGTGGGTTTGGAACAGTTTACAAGGTATGCTTAACATTTATATTTTCTACAGTTTAATTGATCGACCCGTATCAAAATGAGATATTAATTTTATCAGGGAGTACTAGAAAATGGGGAAGAGATTGCTGTGAAGAAGCTCGACATAATATCACTTGATGATGTGAAATTTATGAATGAATTTACTAACCTCATGAGTGTCCGACACAAAAATATTGTTCGATTAGTTGGCTACTGCTGTGAAACAAGACGTAAGCTTGTCCCACACAATGGCAAGTTGGTTTTGGCTTATATGGAGGAAAGAGTTCTCTGCTTCGAATATTTGCAGCGTGGAAGCCTTGACAATTATCTTTCTGGTATGATAGTTTTTGTGTTTTTTTTTGAAAACTAAGTTTTTGTGTTTTTAACTATATTACTTTGCAGTTAACAAGAAAAAGGGTAACCAAATTGATGTCTCAAGAAAATAAATTATTGTTTATGGTACAGACGAATCCAGTGGATTTGATTGGTGCACACGTTACAACATAATTAAGGGGACATGCGAGGGTGTAAACTATCTTCACAATGGACCGCAAGGTCATATTTTCCATCTCGACTTAAAACCTGGCAACATATTGTTGGACAAGAACAATGTGCCGAAAATTGCAGATTTCGGGCTGTCAAGGCTATTTGAGAAAACACTATCCCATCATACAACAAAAGTGGTTATAGGAACTCCGTAAGTTGATCAAACATGACAACTTAATCGCATACTCTATCCGTTCCATAATATAAAGTATTTTAGGTGTGGATTTGACATATCCTAGTAAAATAAATCTGGACAAGATTTATTTTACTAGGATGTGCCAAATCCATCTAAAATCCCTCATATTATAGAAAGGAGGGAGCATATACTTATTTTCTAATTAATTGTTGAATCTTGTTAGCTATTCACACTTTATGTAAATGAGAAAAATGCTAACTTAATTATGATATCGATCATGCAGAGGTTACATGCCCCCGGAATACATTGAGAAAAAACATATCACGGAGATGTTTGACGTATTCAGTCTAGGTGTGATAATAATAGAGATAATGGAAGGACCTAAGGCACGGTCAAAACTGCTTGAAATGCCTTCCCAAGAGTTCATCGAGCTCGTAAGAAATTTTCTATCTAGCCTATATGATGAAGGTCCTCAATTAGTTTTGTGCGCCCATACCATTAATTATCTTTCTTATATTATGTTTCAATTTCCTTAGGTCCATGAAAACTGGAGTAGAAGATTTCAGCAGACAACGCCGACGTATACATCTGAGGAAATAGGTAGTCTTCAACGACAAGTGAAGACATGTTTAGAAATGGCGTTACAATGTGTGGAAGCCGATCGACACAAAAGGCCTACGATAGCGGAAGTTGTCAGCAGACTGAATGAATTAGATGCTATGTTTCAGAGAACGTCACCATCGCTTTTACCTTCTGAGCTGCCGATTGATCCAGCATCACCTGGAGATCAGGTATGATTAGATTATAGAAAATGAAAAAAAAGCAAATTATAATTAAACTGCCACAAAAAAAACATTGTTGCCTATAAAGTAATTATGTAATGCATTCCAAATTCGAATTACTGTACATGAATATCGCCAACATTTTTTTCAAAGTTCAACTTACTGATCTTTATATATATGTATGTACAGCCTGAATGCTCAAAACTGAATAATTTGAATTTGATACTAGAAAGTATATATGCGCGATTAAGTGCTTGTAATAAATCAAAATTTGAGATTTTAATGGTAGTTTATTTGTTTTTGTACCATATATATAAACGATAATTCGTTCCTTGCATGCATAAAGAGTACTTATCGGCACTAGCTTTCCTTTTATTCTTGGTTTATTAATTAGGTGGTGGAAATGTATTTGTCAATAAACGAAGCAAATATGAAAAATCAATGACCAGGATTTATTAATATTATCTTACCACCGCAAAGGTAACATGGAGCACTCTAAAAGAGCTCTTGCACAATGGATCTCTTTTCGCCTAGAACACTAACTTGTTGTGCACAAAATGCCATTTTGCTACATTACCACATCTATATATATTGATGCTTAGTAATTGAAATCTATGTTATATGGACTGTTGTGGATCTTAAAGCCAATTCTTGCCCTATCAAAATTTTAATTTGGCAACTTTAATAGTAACATGTAGATGTTTGGTTCAATGCCAATTTTTGCCTACACTATCTATATATCAATATTTGGGTTCCATCTAGTACCAATTCTACTACATCAAATATGTTAATGTTAAAATTTCCTCAAGTTTGACACTATCAACAGAAAGGTACCAACCCAAAATGGGCCTAAGTTGTTTGAAAACAGGCATTGCATGGGCTGAAAATTTTTAAAATGAACCGATACACGTGACGATACATATATTTTGAGCAGGATTACCAATATTTATGAGGAGTTGATGCCATTTTCTCAGGATTCCAGCAATGCAAGTAGACACAATGAAAGGGAGACGATGGAACAAGAAAGAGGTGCTAGAGGAGAATATGATAATGTAATAATTTACTAATCACGGGGCTTTAATTTACATGTGTAATTATTTATTCATTCTTTCTAAATTTGCTTAATTGGTTGTGTTCACTCATCAGGAGGTTGGAGTTCTTCGTAAGTTTGGCCCTTGGGGTGGGAAAGGAGGGAGCGCTTATGACATCGAGGTGCCACCCCACCGTCTGTATAGTGTGACAATTTGTAGCGGTGAAATCATCGATTCGCTTGCATTCTCATATATTGGACCTAATGGTCAAAGTATCACTATTGGTCCTTGGGGTGGAAATCCTGGCCCTAGTCCTTATACAGTGAGTAAATGCATCTTACAACTACAGTATTTTTTTTTCACTCTTATGGGCTCTGTCCTGCAGTTCTTGACACCCAAAAAATCATGTTCCTAACTTTTACAGATTCAGCTCGGTCCCTCAGAGTTTCTATTGGAGGTGTCTGGAACAATTGGTCGATTTGCCAATTCACGTTCTAATGTTATAACATCACTTACACTGGTCACTAATGAGGACAGATATGGCCATTTTGGAACAGAAAGAGGGGATCCTTTCTGCACCACACTGCAAACAAATTGCAGCATTGTTGGCTTCTTTGCTCGTGCAAGTAGATACATGCATGCAATTGGTGTCTATGTGAACACCAACCAACTAAACCTTGCTGTCAGTAGACGACGCTTTAGAACGGATAATTTAGGGAATGCAAACGAAAAGGTACTCCTGCTCTATCTAAAATTACTGTACTTATATATTTCTTTCATTAGTCGATCGCTTTTTCTAATGCTTTGCTGCTTGATGGATCTGCATTATATTGTTGAAAACAAGCTTGTCAAGATTGGGCCCTGGGGTGGAAATGGAGGAAGGGCTCATGATGTCAATGTGGCACACCACCGTCTGGAAAGCATAGCAATTGGCAGTGGCAGCATCGTCGATTCACTTGCATTTTCATACATAAAACCTAATGGAGACAGGCTCACTGTTGGTCCTTGGGGCGGTGCACTTCCAAACCCTTATACAGTGAGTAAAGAAACTAGCTAGGGGTGGTTCCATTCTGTTTCTTTTCATCAGAATGTGATTAAGTAATTTATTGTCTTATTCTTGTCCAAATCAATGTTATTTATTTTCCTTGCAGATTAACCTGGATCCTTCAGAATCTCTGTTGGATGTTTATGGAACAATTGGCCCCTACGTCGATTCACGTTCTGATGTTATAACGTCAATTACATTTGTCACCAGCAAGGATACATATGGACCTTATGGAACAGGAGGAGGGGTTCCTTTCAGTACCCCAGTGAAAGGCAACAGTAGCATTGTTGGATTTTTTGGGTATGCAGGTAGATACATGCATGCGATAGGCGTCAACGTGGATGCAGGAGTGGACGAGAACGTAAAATCCCATCCATGTCTACTTATGTTCTACTTCCTCTGTTTCAGGTTATAAGACTTTTTAGCAAGAAAGTCTTATAACCTGAAACGGAGATAGTATTAATTTTTTCAGTTATATATATTGTGTAATATTTTCCTAATTTTTGGTTTACTGGATTGTAATCCAGGATCGGCTTGCAAAGATTGGGCCATGGGGCGGAAGCGAAGGAATTGTTAAGGACATCAATGTGGCAGTGGCACCTCACCATTTAGAAAGCGTGACGATCTGCAGTGCTGTTGTCATTGATTCACTTGCATTTTCGTACAGTAAATCCAACGGGCAAAAATACGATATAGGCCCATGGGGTGGTCCTGGTGGGATGAGCCATACAGTCAGTGATCCAACCTTTTCCCATTTTGCTAATCTTTATATGTTGCTCATCAATTATTCCCTATCTTGTGGAAAATACGTACTAGCTTCTTGATCGATGATCTCTTCATTTGCTCCTTTTCAGGTTAAGTTCGGCTCTTCTGAGTTCTTGGTGCGAGTTTTTGGAACAATAGGTCCATTTCGTGCATCACGATGTGTTGTAACATCTGTTACATTTGTTACAAATGTTCGTAGCTATGGACCTTTTGGTCAAGGAGGAGGGACTCCATTTGACGTTCCAATGCAGAGCAACGGAAAAATTGTTGGCTTCTTTGGTCACGCAAGGTCATATGTCGAGGCACTTGGGGTCTACGTTCGCACATATTGATTATGCATATTGCTTGATCTTCACACACATGTTGTTGCATGATTTAGAGTATTCTTATTCGTATGTATAATGGTATAATTGTTGCATTATTATTTCCTGTCTCGTTTCTCAAAAGAAATTTAATAAATGGAAACATTGAGTACTGGCTGCTGAGAATTATCTTTGCACTGTAATATATTGGAATTGGGCCTTATAAGGGAGTCAATATCTAGAGTTATATATTGTCACGCCCCGAACTAGTACCGACCGGAACTACCCCGTGACGCTCCAAATTAACCTGTTAATCGATACCAGTCCCAGGAAACAGTGCTGGTATCACAGGAAGACAGATTATCACAGCAACAGAGGTCTCTTTATTATAGAGTAGAGGTACAGTCATGTTGGGCTGCGGACAGATCCCGAGCTCACAACTGCATTACAAAAGGGAAGCGGAAGCCAGGTCTTGGACCAAACATCACAGGCGCGACTTGGGAACTAGGCCGAAACCCTAAAACTCATCGTAGCCGGCTTGCTCCTGGAAGAACTCCTCATCAGCAGGATCCGCTTCATCTTCTTCAGCAACTGGGGGGGATTATTTATATAGAGCAATGGTTTGCTGAGTACCGTATTCCAATCCCCATTATTCCAAATCTCCTTGATAGTAGCTTTCTGATGTAAACTTATCTCAAACAGCTTATTAAAGGCCACTTTGAAAGGAACCTCACCACACCATGTATCACCCCAGAAATCAACCTTACTACCATCATGCACTTTCTTGGTCACCAACCTCTGCAAGTAATTCTTACATTGATGTAATCCCTTCCAAAACTGTGAGCCATCCACGTCAAAACTCTGAAAGAAACTACCCCTCATATACTTCCTCCTCAATACCTCAAAACACATATATACGGGCCTTTCGGACAAGGAGGAGGAACTGAATTCTGTGCACCAACAAAGAGTACTGACAGTATTGTTGGCTTCTTTGGGCGTGCGGGCTGGTATATTGATGCAATCGGCGTCTACCTTCATCCGAAACAACCCACAGTACTTGATGAAGAGGAATTGACCACTGATGTGCAAACAATTGGAGGAAGAGGAGAGGAGATGGAGATGGTACTAACTTACTGCAAGAAGTTAATTTGTTATTTTTGTATGTCTGTTCTCGATTAATTTTCTTCTTCATTTCTAATTTTTTTTTGTGGTTTGTTCTCATGAGGCTGGGTTCAACAAGATTGGTCCTTGGGGTGGAAATGGAGGAATCGAATATGTCATGGAGACAGTTCCTCACCGTCTAGAAAGCATAACAATTTATAGTTCTGTTGTTGTTGATTCCCTCGAATTTTCCTATAGTGAAGTTAATGGGGACAATCACACTTCAGGTCCTTGGGGAAGTGCTAGTAGTGAAAGTAGCCAAATGGTAAGTAATAACTGAATCTTAAAATACCTGTCCAGTAATATAGGGTGCCAATTAATTATTTCTTTTTATACATAAATAGTTTGCTAACGGTTCTCCTTTCCTTGTAGATTCGGCTTGGCTCTCACGACTTTCTAAGGGAAGTTTCTGGAACAGTAGGTCCGTTTAATTCAATGCCGAATGTTATTACATCGCTTAAGTTCTTCACAAATGGTGGTACCTATGGACCTTTTGGACAAGGAGGAGGGACTCCGTTTAAAGTTGATCCGTTGGAGTATAGTAGCAACATCGTTGGTTTCTTTGGCCGTGCAGAGCAGTGCCTCGAAACATTTGGGATCTACATTCGCAAATTCTAACCTGAGATTGGCCAAATGCTGTTGAGGCATTAGTTTGTGTGCATATGCCTCCCCTTTCTACTTCTTGATATTGCTTTGTTTATCATAAGATTGTCGCGTACTCCTGCTGACTGTTGTATTGTTCATTAAGAAACTACATATATAATACTACCTTCATTTTAATGTATGAAGCCGTTGACTTTTTTTTAACGTTTGACCATTCGTTTTATTAAAAAAAATTTATGTAATTATCATTTATTTTATTGTGACTTGATTCATCATCAAATTTCTTTAAGCATGATATAAATATTTTCATATTTGCACAAAATATTTGAATAAAACGAATGGTCAAACGTTGATCGAAAAGTCAACAGTGTCATACATATATGGAGGGAGTATATTTTAGCTGCTGTTCGTTTGAATATATTGAACATTCACTACCCAAATGAAATGCTGAGCACCGGTTGCTAGGAACTACTCTGTTGACATACTGGAATTGGTAGGTGCACCATCATACATACATAATGCCTGTTTGGTTTGTCTTCACTTTCAACCCTGTAAATTTTTGTCATTACTAACTTTTGCTAAGATAACAAACCAAGCATACTTATATTCGTAGATTCAAAAGTTTCCGTTAAAAATATACGAAAATATGTTGAAGTTTCAGACCAAACATATTTCAACACCCCTGAAAATTAGCAATGCAGAAATTTTGGTAGAGCTGGTTTATGCAATAAAACAAACAGAACCATAGTTTCTTTTTTGTTTTATGTGTTCTGCTTTGCTTCTCTTGTTTGTCTCACTGGGTAGGGTCTAGATATGTTTTTGGTTCCACTTGATGTATATGCAGAACCAAAATTCCAACATCCTATATACCTATACAAATCATCCCCACTTTAGTGTAGATATTAGCAATTTCCGGTTCATCTACATCATCAAATAAACAATAGCCGTTGGATCCTATCCTAATGATCAAGATCCTGGTCAGTGCAGTCCACTCTCAATGGTTTGGATCTGGTTAGCACAGCCCACACGTACTCTTCAGCCCAGCAGCCCATCCATCCGGTCAGCTTCTCTAGCACGGACTCCAAGACGCAGTGTGTGTATGACAGGTAGGACCGAATATTAATAGTGTAGTATGTAACTATTGTATGGACGAGCTATTAGATTAGCTATAGATGAATTGGAGCTACTAGTTGACTATACTATTAAACTTGCTCTAAGGTTGTGTTCGCTGCTTCGGGTTGGGAACCCAACTCCACGTGGAAAACGGAGCGGTCCATTAGCGCGTGATTAATTAAGTATTAGCAATTTTTTTAAAAAAATAGATTAATTTGATTTTTAAAAGCAACTTTTGTATAGAATTTTTTTTTAAAAAACGCACTGTTTAATAGTTTGAAAAGCGTATGCGTGGAAAACGAGAGATGTGAGTTGGGAAAGTGGGGGAAAGAACTCAGCTAGTCCCCGCGCCGTCTCCCGGACTGCTCACAGTCAATGGAAACCGTTGCCGCATCCAGCTGGCTGGGGTGGGCTGAGGTGGTTGGGTAGGATAGGAGGGAGTGTAGAATAGTTATTCTAAGGGGGGTGTAGAATAGAGCTGTCCAATCATGATCAACACATTGAGATTGTAGGATCGAATAGCACGAACTAAGCCAACCAGAGGGGATTGAATGGTTAGTGTACCCAAAAACCAAAACTTTTAACGGAATTAAAAGTTACCCTCAAATTCGACAGATCACGGTCTGACCGAAGCAGTCGTGCCGGTCTGACCGAAGTAGAATGCTCAGTCCGACCGCCTTGAAGTCGCCCCTGCTCCCTGTTGCCGTCACCGGTCTGACCGCCTTGAATCCGTCGCGGTCTGACCGCCGCGATGCCGCCGGTATGACCGCTGGTGTCTCGACTATTAGACCACCGAACCTGAGCAAACACAAATCGAAGAACTCTAGATGTAGATGACAACTTTATTACTTATCTCTGTGTTTACAAAGTGCAACAACAGCACTCCTCACGAAAATCTCGACTAAACTCGAAACCCTAACTTTACTCTAGACTCAATGCTCTTAAAAGCGATACCAAGAAGTCTCACACTCCCTCTCTATTTATACATGAGGTAGGCAGCCTAAAACCACGAACCAAATTCATACAAGAAGTCCTAATCCAACTAGTAAACCTTCCCGTACAAGAAACAAACTTCACATACTCCAATTGTACCAAATTTGGACTCCTTCCAAATTCGACTCCGTATCCCATACGTACACAATATCTCCATCGTATGCCATATGAAATCTTCACCAACTACGTGCATTGAACTCTAGCCTAAGTATCCCGCATGATATCTGACCGTCCAGACGTCGCCTTATCTCCAAGTCAACTCCCGGTCCATCATCGGCAATACTCTCACGAGGCATCAAGTCACCTACACATGAATCAAACAAAAAAACCATATTCCGAGCTCAAGCTATCTCCAACTTGACTCATTGTTAGCAAATAACAGTAATATCCAAATATCAAAACCAATAATCACATATGCCAATTTGTTCATCACAGAATAAGAATGAAAAACACTTTGATTTTACAATCTCCCCCTTGATGAACACATTGGCAAATCCATCCAAAAATATTTTGGTGTTTGGAAAAATAAAAACAAAAGTGGTAAAAAAACACACTTCGTGCAAAAGCACACATCGTGCTCAAAATCCAAAAGAAGACTTCTCTTACTTTTGAAAAGAAAGAAATTTCCCCTTGATCGAAAAACATGCACAATCTCTTCTCTTCTCCTCCCTTTTGACAATGATTTCATCAAGCATACGAATTATGTTCATTTATGTTCATGAGCTTAGCATACATATAGCACATCACGTCAAGTTTTGTAATAAAAAGAAGATGAACCCATCTATAATATAGCAAGCATGCATTAAAGTATAATCATGAACCAAATATTTTACAATTAAGTTCAAATCAACAATCAAATTTCATGATTTCATATGATTTATAATGCAACATCTTTACAAGCACATAGGTTGAAAAAATAAACATTATACATATATACCTATTGCAATTATCACACTTTCTCAAATTAACTTTAGCACAAAACAACCAAGAGAATTTTTAACTTTTACTTGAGCCTTTTTGCTCATTTTTTCCCTCAATTATTCCTGGTACGTCCTTGTCATCAAGACTGTTTCCAAGGATTCGGCACCCATTATTTTTGCTCACATCGAATACGTCCTTGTCGTCAAGACTGTTTCCAAGGATTCGGTATTCATTTTTTTCTCTCATAGATATTTTTATTCTATTGAACAATGAGCAATTACAAAGCTATTTGAGAAATAACAATTCAATAAAGCATATATAAGCATTTATAAATCAAACCATATGCTAGCATCAATTTCGCAAATTCTCTTAATTCAAGTATAGAATTTAAGTGTCATGCATCATTTCCCTTAAAAGCAATATCTAAGCCTCATAAAAAGACTAGAATACATACAAGCTATACTAGAGACAAGTAAAGCTTCATAATATATTGCTAGCATGCACAAGAATATACCATATATATAAAATAAAGCTCTCTTTTCTCAATTTTTCTTATTGCTAATTTTGCTTGATAAAACCATGAGGTACAAAAACTCCCCCTCAAACCATGCCAAAAAGATAAATGAAAAAGCACTAACTCTCCCTGAAATTAACCTCAATTCTCCCTGAAGAAAAATCAAGAAGAAATCAAAGATTTTGAAAAAGACATCCAATTGCCAACGATACCACCAAAGTTCTCATGAATTAACATACATTCACTCAAATTAACCAAAACTACTACCTCAAACACTAGCATATGAAAAGCTAATAATGAGGAAAGTGGAACAAAATTATGTCAATTCAAAAGTAAGTTGATGTTACCTTGAAAAGCAATTGTCATCTCAACATTGAATGCTCATGGGGAGTATGCCATCAAAATACCTATGAACGAGAAGATATCAAGGCCTCCGTGTTGGGGTTAGGAATAAGAAACTTTGGAATCCAACACTGAGTCACACGACCAGTAGAACCAGTAGGTACAAAAGCACTAACAAAATCAGGACCAGACTTATCTGAAAACTTACCTTGTCGCTTTCAAAATTCCGATTTGAATTACACGCAAAATCACCCCGAGGCTGATCTGACCGCCAGTGTCCCTATGGTCTAACTAGACCTGGCAGCCGGTCTGACCGACTGGTCAGTGTCGGTCTGGCCGTGCTCCTCGCATGAAAACCCAATTTTTGCCATCGTCGTTTCGCAAAAGCAAGTCAAAAACAAAAACAACCAAATGTCCATCTTTTCCAAAAAAAAAGAACATGTATACTTCTCACGACAAGTTTGTGAAGTAGATGGTTTTGAAAGATTTGTTTTTGTTTCTTTTAAATTTGCAGAAAGAGAGGGCAAAATTCCAGCAGACTTAAAAACTGTTTTCTTAGCACTTGGTTTTGTCAAAATTTCACCATGTTCAGTCACACTCAAAACAATAGGTTGATTTTTGGTGAAATGGTCATGAACATCAAAACCAACACCCCTATTGGAACTAGTCACTTTAGATTGATCCAAAATCATGTTAAGTTGTTTATTACTATAAGAAAATATTTGCAAAGAACTTTTCAAACAAGAAACTTCTTTTTCCAAATTAGCACAATTTTCACAATCTACCATGTCACCTTTGCTTTTACGACATTTGGGACAAGAAAGCACTTCATCAGATTTCACAATGTTTTCCATATGCTCAGCACGTCCTAAAGCATCTTTCAATTTCATCTCATTCAAAAAGCACTTAGAACAATTTTGAGAAACCAAAACATCTTTATTTTGTTTAGCCCTTTTTGGACATAAAAATTTAACAAAGTACTTGCACAAAAAGCAACTTTGTATTTTGTCAAAAAGCCCTTTGTGAAAACCAATTCATCAACAACACGAGCATGCAAAGCAAATCCAAGAGCAAAAGAAGACTCCAATTTTTTAGACTTTTCAATCTCAGATTCCAATTTCTTATGACTAACAGAATTGACATCTCGCAAAACATTAATTTCAGAAAATAAAACTTCACAATATTTGCAATCATCATCATTAGGAATCGAAGATTTTAATCTATCAATTTCAGCATTTAGAATCTCAATAGTATGATCCTTCTCATCAAGCATATTAGAACATGTTTTAAGTATTTTAGCAAATTTGAAAGCAGCATGTTCTAATTGATGATAACTAAGCTTTTCTTCACTATCACTATCAGATTCATCCACATCTGAATTTGCATTACGAGAAATAAAAGCTAGATCAACAACTTGCTTACCTTTGCTCTCTTCTTCATTCTCCGACTCATCAGTATCAAAAGCTTCTATGAGTTCTCGGATTAACCTCTGCTTGAGACTCTTCTTCTTCTCCTTCTTGTTGATTTCATCTTCCTTGGTAACCTTCTTGCCTCTCCCAAGCTTAGGACAATGCGAACGTATGTGATCAAGTGCTCCATACTCGAAGCAACAAGTTGGACCTCCTCTTTTCCTGTTCCTGACATTGTTCATAGCTCGAGAAATCTTGTTAGCAGCTAAAACCAAGTTCTCCTCCTCGAACCGTTCAAGTTGCTCATCGGACATGGCATTAATCAAAGTAAGAGTAGTAGAATTTGATGAAGAAGCACCAACATCCAAAGAAGATGAGGAAGAAATCAAAGCACTAGATTTAGAATCAACTTTATGAGAAAGAATGTTTATCTCATGAGTTTTGAGTTTTGTGTAAAGCGAATCCAAAGTCAGAGTGGACATATCAATAGACTCATGAATAGATGTAACTTTCATCTCCCAAATATACATGTCAAGACCAATCAAAAAGTGTCGAGAAATCTTAGATTGTGAGTAGTTAATATCATAAGCAGAATCTACAGATCTAAGATCACTCAAAATCTTGTTGAACCTAGAATGATTGTCATCCAAAGCTTCTTCAGGTTTCATCTAAAATTTTATGTATTCCTTTTTGAAAAGATCTCGATGAAGTTCTTTAATATTTGAAGTTTCTTGAAAGTTTATCTCATTGGCGGTTTGAGGATGTGAAACACGATCAAAATCTGAACGAAAAATCCCACTCAAAAGAATATTGCGAGCTTTGCAATTATTTTCAAATTCAGTTTTTAAAGCAGCAGTATTAATTTGATCAGGAATCACATAAGGATTAGAAACTTTTCTCCAAATATCAAGATCCTCAGCCATAATGTAAGATTGCATCTTATTACACCAATAAGCAAAATCCGAACCATCGAAAACATGGGGCTTAGTAGTAAACTTGTGTAACGCCCCGATTTTCGTTCGGGATTAAAAATCATTTAATAATGCATTTCCTAGAAATTAAATAAAAATTTAAGCAATTTATTCGAGTGAATTAATGGGAGAATTAAAATTTTCCCTTAAAAATCATTGGCCGGGAATATTTTGCAATATTCTTTGTTCCCTAAAATACTCTCTGAAATTTCCCGTGAATTTTCGGAGCTCAAGAAATAATTTTAAATAGCACAAAGTTCATTTAACCAATTAGAATAAAAAGAAAAGAAAATAATCTTCCCCTTCCTTCCTTTCGGGCTTGGCCCAAATTCCTCCCCTCCTCCTTCCTAGGCTGGGCTTCCCTTCCTCGGCCCGCTCGGCTCTCTCTCTTCCTCAAGTCTACATTTCCTCCCTAGCCTATTTTCCCCTCCCCCTCTCTCCGACAGGTGGGCCCCACATGTCATCTCCTACCTCCAGCTCCATCCCCAACCGCCGCCATGGCCGCCAAATCCTCCCACGTCGCCGCCTCTCCCGCGCGACTCCCTCTCCCGCGCGTGCGTGGACGCGGTCGTCGCCCACGTCCGCGCCGTTTCCCCCCACTCTCCCCGCAAAATCCGGCCACGTCGCCGCCTCCCGCATCTCTCTCTCCTCCCACGTCGCCGGCCGGTTTCTACCTCTCTCGGGCTCAATCCGGCCTCCCCTCCCCTATAAAAACATTCCCCGCACCTCCCTCTCCCTTTTCCCCTCTCTCCCGAGCCCTCCCGTGCACGAAAACCACCCCGCCACCGTCGCACCTCCCGCCGCCGCTCGCCGACGACCCTCCAGCCGGTCGCCACAGCCGCTCCCACCACCGTCGTTCCGCGCGACCGCCACAAGCGGCTTCGCCGCGTCGTGCCGCACCCCGGCGTCCGCTCCATTTCCCCTCCCCGCCTCCGAAGCACCGTCGCCACGCGCACCACCTCCTTCCACCGCCGCCGCCGACTCCAGCCGCCGCTTGGCGCCGCTCCTAGCCACCCCAAGTCGCGCTGTCGCCGCCGCTCGCTTCGCAGCGCCGAGGAGCACCTCGGCCGCCGCTTTTCACGGCCAGGATCCCGCCGGAACACGGTTCCCCTTGCGCCGGTGCGCATCCGCCGCCCGTTCTCACCTCCGACCAGCGATTCATGCCGCTGGGAGCCCTCTCTCCCCCTCTTAACCTCTCCCCCATCCTCCCCAGGTCCTTCCGGCCGCCGTCCGCCGGTTCCCGTTCGCGGAACGCCGCCGGGTCGCCGTTCCGCCTTCGTCCCGAGGAGCGCCGACGCCGAGCTCCCCCTCCTTTCCCCGCCCCTCGTCGCCGCCCTAGGTGAGCACTCCACCCCCTCTTCCCTCTTTCTCCCCTTGGCCGGCCGCTTCCCGTGCTTGCGCGCGCCGTGCCGCCGCCGCCGGTGGCCGCCCAGCCCGTGTGCCGCCGTCGCTTTGGTCCCTGCCGCCGCCGCGCCTTGGCTCGGCCGGGCCGGCTTCGTGCCGCGCCTGTGCCCCTGGCTGCCGCTCCCCTCGGCCGCCCAATCGGCTCAGGCCGATCTGGGCCGTCCACGTGGTGGACGCGCACCCGAGGCCACGTGTGGACCATGTCCACCGTGCGCCCTCCCCCTTTGACTCGCTGACGTGTGGGGCCCGCGTGTCGGCGCCGGCCGCCCCTTGCTGACGTCAGCGAGGTCCTTTTCCTTTGTAAAAATAAATAATAATTGCGCAATAATTCGTGAATAATTCTAGAAATTCATATAAATGGCTCAAAACTTCTAAAATTCATATCTAATTCATTCGAACTCCGAATTGAGCCGTTCAACTTGCAAAATTCATCTAAAATTGAGCTCTACATGTTTGTTTAGTTTATATGTACTGTTACCTTGGTTTTTATTAGAGTTTTTCCTCATTTTGCGTGCCAGCGTGTAGTTCCCGTCGTTTCGGAAGATCGCGTTCGCAAGGATAAGAGTTCGGAAGATTGTTTGAAGAAGCAAGGCAAGTCACACACTCCCCTTGAGCATGTTGATCCCAATTTATAAATGTTTTACCGTTTACAAATAAATATGCATGTTTTGCTAATTACATGGGGTCAGGGTATTACCTATCTGCTCGCTTGTGCCATGTTTACTTGATATCTGTTCTTTGTCAACCTTGGGTAATGAATCGACTAGCTCATGTTACTTATGTGACCTAGCTAGAACTATATGCTTAGCCATGCTTAATTACCACTAGCTCAGTTGATGGGATAATTATAGTATTAGACCTTTTTAGTATCAGAATGAGCTGCGTGCTCGAGACATCTGGCCATGCTTCATGGTCGTAATTATCCAACTAAAATGCAACTGAATGGTGGGCTGTGGGTGCATGGTTTTGCTGGTCGCACCCATGGCAGTTAAGGACCAGTTCGCGGGATGCCCTGGAAAAACTTATCGTACTTACCACAAGCCAGCGTGGGCAACGGCTGGGCTTGTAGTGTAGCTTTCCTCTAGCTGACGCATCCAGGCAAGGGTGGGCGTGATGGAGTTCGGATGGGCCCTGCGACGGTCTATGCGGCTTCTGGATTCACCTAGGCACGAGAGGGGACTGCTCGCTGCCTTGCGAGGAGTGGGGGTGAAACCTGAGGTGTGGTGTGCTTAGTTAGAGGGGGTTATGCGAAGGGTCCTGTCACGGCCTCTTTCCGGTATGTCGTGGTGGCATGTCGGCGCACGGAAACGTGTCGTGGGGCTGTGTCTTGTGGGTACAGTTGTACACCTCTGATCAGAGTAGAACTATTCGAATAGCCGTGCCCGCGGTTATGGGCGGTCGACCAGATTCACCGTGATTAGTCCCATCTTAATAAATCGACCCAATACACTGTAGTTCAGGTGGGTTGGTTGGGCCTGTTCAACGTGGTGTAGCGTTGATCAGTGGAGATTTAATGTTACTTTAATTACTCAACCGTTTTACTGTTTTGCTCAATAAAGTGTTTTACAACTGCCTTTATGCAAATAGCCACAAACCCCTCCTTGTATCCCCTTGCATGTCTGCATCGTTGGTGTGGCTTGCTGAGTACGGTGGCTGTACTCAGCCTTGCTTTTATTCCCCCTTTTCAGAAGAGTAGTGCTTCTGAGCTGAAGACAAAGTTAGAAGACCAAGGCTCAGACCCCAGTTGAGTTTTGCCTGTGGAGTGGAGCTGAAGCCCCGCTAGGATCGCCTTTTTCCGCTGCTGTCGTTCTGTTTCGGTGTGAGGACTAAGTGCCTCTTCCGTAAGTATTTTACGCTTTATTTACGTTTGGAACTGTATATTACTTGTCGTTTTGTGTACCCTGGCTGGTCCTGGACAGGGATTTAATACGCAAAATAGTCTGGAAATTTGGGTTAAATTTCTGGGCGTGACAACTTGTTAGCCATGGCTAAAACTCTAGATCGGTTAAAATCCAAAGAAGAAAACAAGGCTCTGATACCACTTATAGGATCGAATAGCAAGAACTAAGCCAACCCGAGGGGGGTGAATGGTTGGTGTACCGAAAAACCAAAACTTTTAGCGAAATTAAAAGTTACCCTCAAATTTGACAGATCGCGGTCTGACCGAAGTAGTCGTGCTGGTCTGACCGCCTGGAAGCCGTCGGTCTGACCGATGTAGAACGCTCGATTCGACCGCCCTGAAGTCGCCTCTGCTCCCTGTTGCCATTGCCGGTCTGACTGCCTTGAATCCGCCGGTCTGACCGCTGCGATACCGCCGGTCTGATCGCTGGTGTCTCGCCGGTTAGACCGCCGAACCCGAGCAAACACAAATCGAAGAACTCTATATGTAGATGACAACTTTATTACTTCTCTCCGTGTTAACAAGGTGCAACAACAGCACTCTTCATGAAAATCTCGACTAAACTCGAAACACTAACTCTCTTACTCTAAACTCAATGCTTTCAAAAGCGATACCAAGAAGCCTCATGCTCCCTCTCTATTTATATATGAGGTAGACAGTCTATACCTACGAACCAAACTCATACAAGAAGTCTTAATCCTCATAAGAAACCTTCCCATACAAGAAATAAACTTCACAAACTCCAATTGTACCAAATTTGGATTCCTTCCAAATTCGACTCTGCATCCCATACGTACACAATATCTCCATTGTATGCCATATGAAATCTTCACCAACCACGCGCATTGAACTCTAGCCTAAGTATCCCGCATGATATCTGACCGTCCGGACGTCGTCTTATGTCCAAGTCGACTCTCGATCCATCACCGGCAATACTCTCCCGAGGCATCAAGTCACCTACACATGAATCAAACAAAGAAACCATATTTTGAGCACAAGTTATCTCCAACTTGACTTATTGTTAGCAAACAACAGTAATCTCCAAATATCAGAACCAATAATCATATATACCAATTTATTTATCACAGAATAAGAATAAAAAACACTTTGATTTTACATAGATAAACATGATACATATGTTCTCACAAATTTACGAGATTTTGAACATCACATCGAGTAGTGAATTTGAAATTCCAAAAAAGTAACTCATCGAACAACTTAAATATTTGTAAGCATATCAAATGCCGACACAAATTGATGATGTTACTCCATGATGCCTCAAACCATGCCGTTTAATCCGCAATACTTGTTGGAGGCTGAGGAATTGGAACAAAGACAATCGGCAATGACTTAACCTCACCCATCTGTTTTTCCAAGTGCTGCTCAGTGACATTAATGTCAAGTGAGCCGATGTCTGTCTCCCTCACCCTAGTGCTCCGTACAAAGAACATATCGTCGCACTGCATGTTCGGTGGTGCGCTCCCCTGTGGTTGCAGCGTTACGATGACATAGCACCTAGACCATGGTGCCATAACTCCTTGGTCCCTGTGTATTTGGTACTTCTTCTTGTTTGTGTTTGCATAGAACTCGACGATGTCATCTGACTTGTTTGTTAGCTGCAGTACGCAGGATATCGCCTTGTTAGTCTCGAATGGGAAGCGTAGCTCTAGAGGGTCGAACCCAAGAAACTCCCTAGGCTCAGGTCTCTGCAACGAAGATCCATAGAGATATTACTAATGTTGTAGGACTATAAAATGTGGTTATGGTACCATATATAATGCATTAATTAAACAATTCAAAATTTTCTAGTTCGTCCCAAAATAAAAGGCCACTTTTAGCATCTGAAATTTGTCTCAATAGATCACTACTCCCTCTAGTTTTATTTTAATTGATGTTTTGGACAATGACACGGTTTACAAAATATATTTTTGACCTTATTTTTCTATTATAATATATATAATAAATAAATACATGTTTAATTCTGTTATAGTGCTTTGAAAGGCAAATCTATATATGTTGTTCTAGTTTCTTTAAACTAAATATTTTAAAACTTATTGATGGTTAAAGTTATACAAGTTTCACCTCAATCTTGTCAAAAACGTCAATTATTATAGAACCGGAGAGAGTACATCCCTCACCAACCACCTCTCATTTAATTTTCACTTAGTCTTAATTATCCCCAGCTGCCATGTAACTCCCCAAATATCACATTTAATGAGGGGTATTATAGTCTTTTTCCTCTATCCTGAATCTCCTCAGGAAAAACTAAGAGTTTACTTTGGGATGGAGGGGTATCGTACTATGAATAAACATTGGTTTGGTTTTTAATACCATATACACCTAAATCACATTATAATATTTTGGTAACAAATTACTAAACACAATAATAACCAATTCTACCATTACTGTATCAAAATTATTAGAACTTTTCAGTCAAAAAAATAATTAAAACTTAGCATTATCAAATTTTGGCATTATTTTGGTGTAGTACGAAACCAAACAAGTTTGGAGATAATATACCTTGCTTAGAAGTGACATTTTTAGGGTATCGATCTCATTCATTTTATCAACAATATCGCTTATAGTAGGTCTTTTTGCTCGGTCTTTATCAATACATCTTAATGCTATTTCAAGGCATGTCTTCACTTGTAGGCTATCTGCTTCCTGCGATGCATACCTCGATGTTGCTGCATGCAGTCTTTTCTTCCAGTTTCCTTGTACCTTCAAAATTGAACAATACAGTAGAGAAGGTATGTAAGCATGCGTGCATACAGTACAAATTAATTATACTAAAATAACTATTGTTCACGATATAAGATAAAATGGAACTTTTCTTACAAGTTCAATAAACTGTTGGGAAGTCATTTCAGCACATTTAGAGTAGCCCGAAGGTCCAGCAATTATATCTATGATTATAACACCTAAACTGAATACATCAAACTTCTTGGTGATTTGGCGTCTTTCAATGTATTCTGGTGGCATGTATCCGCTGCATAGTATATAAACACAAATTATATATCGTTATAAAAAAAACACACAAAACAAAATGAACCGAATACTTAAACGGTTGTTTCTACTGATAGTGTGTGTGTGTGTGTTTTCTACTACTAGCTAGTATTACCACCGGTAGACGTGATCTAAGCCATTACTGAAGAGATCAACTACTATTAGAATAACATATTTTATTATCAGTCGCTTAGGTGGTAGTATAAGCACGTGGAAATCTATTGGAGAAAGGATGATCCAGCGATGACTTAATTTTAGGAAACTCAATAGCTAAAGTTATTATACATAGAATTATTAACACTGTGATTTAAGTATGATTAACATGCTATGGCACCAGTAAAATAACATGTTATGATACCAATGTTTTATTTTCCCTTTTTTTGAGGTTCCAATATGTCTTATTTAATTTTCTAGATCCACACCGCTTAGTATAAATAGATATTGTCTTATGGGTGAGGTGAAAGGGGGGACAACTAATGGACGGGTAATCGCTGGGGGCCCTCCCCTATACTCCAACGCTCCCTCCTCTCCCCCCTTCCTCCTCCCCTTTTTCTCTTCCTACTACACCATAAATATTTAAATTTAATATTTGACTTATAAACTTTAGGTCTATAAACCTTTGGTGTATAAACTTTAGATGTATAGAAATACTATATATAGAAAATATTTGAATTCAAATTCAAATTTGAATTTAAGTATAATTCAAATTCAAATTTGAATCGGGTATATAAACTTTAGGTCTATAAACTTTATATCTATAAACTTTAGGTGTATAAACTTTAGATGTATAGAAATACTATATATGAAAAATATTTGAATTCAAATTCAAATTTGAATCAGATATAATTCAACTTCAAATTTGAATCAGATATATAAACTTTAGGTCTATAAACTTTAGGTCTATAAACATTAGGTGTATAAACTTTAGATGTATAGAAATACTATATATAAAAAGAATATTTGAATTCAAATTCAAATTTGAATCGGATATTTGAATTCAAATTCAAATTTGAATCAGATATATTTCAAATTCAAATTTGAATCGGGTATATAAACTTTTGATTTATAAACTTTGGGTCTATAAACTTTAGGTGTATAAATTTTAGATGTATAGAAATACTATATATATATAAATATTTGAATTCAAATTTAAATTTAAATCGGATATATAAACTTTTAATTTATAAACTTTGAATCTCTAAACTTTAGGTGTGTAAACTTAAGGTGTATAAACTTTAGTTGCATAAATTTACTAGAATAGGAAAGTAATGCGGTGCTAAAAAAGGAAACCAGGTGGAGGGGAGGAAATCTAATCTGATCGCTGTTAGCTACCCCTAGCGATCAATCGCTAGGTAGCATTTCCGGGTGAAAGGTCCACATAATTCTATTGAGACGTCAACAAATATGAATCATGAGGTTGCAACTTACAGTGTCCCTTTAATTTGGCTTGTGATATGGGTTTTTGTTGTCGCAAAGAATCTTGACAGGCCCAAATCTGCAATTTTTGGTATCATGCTTTTATCTAACAATATGTTAGATGGTTTCAAATCCAGATGATAAATAGGATTGCTGGACCCATTGTGAAGGTAATTTAAACCCTCGCAAATCCCCTTAATTATCTTGTAGCGTGTGTCCCAGTCAAGCCCACATGATTCATCTGCACAAAGTCACTGAAGATAACTCAATTGTCTGAGACAGCATGGTCGAAACCACTTTTAAGCAGATTGAGCAAAATCGTACCAGAAATATGTTTGTCAAGGCTTCCAAGCTGCACATGTTCAAAGCAGAGAGCTCTTTCTTCAACGTTAGAAAATACAAATTCTCCGTTGCGTTCAATATGTTTCTTCTTTGTTTCATAGCAGTAGCCAACTAGCCTTACGACATTCTGATGGTGGACTTTCATAAGGTTATTAAACTCCTTTTTAAACTGCACATCATCAAGACCAGGTATAACATATAGCTTCTTCACCGCAATCTCTTCTCCAGTGGGCATTACTCCCTGTTAAAGTTCCTTGTTAATTAGTATACACCCTAAATTACATGGATTATTGTAATATAATTGTTGATTTAACCATTTCAAAACTAGAATGTTAATTGCGTTCTGTGACCATCACTTATAATTTGTCTTTTAGTTGGCTTGTTAATTAATATTCTCGCCTTATCTAAATATTTTTTTGCAGAACGACAGACGATATCCTTGTAATGATTCTACTGTTTTCTCTGTAGATGATGGATGATTCTTAATCTATTTATAACTATTTGAGGGCACGAACAAAATAAATTTACTACTACCTCCGTTTCGAAATGTTTGACGCCGTTGACTTTTTAGCACATGTTTGACCGTTCGTCTTATTCAAAAAATTTAAGTAGTTATTAATTCTTTTCCTATCATTTGATTCATTGTTAAATATATTTTTATGTAGGCATATAATTTTACATATTTCACGAAAGTTTTTGAATAAGACGAATGGTCAAACATGTGCTTAAAAGTCAATGGTGTTAAACATTTTGAAACGGAGGGAGTATTATATAGTTGAAAAGTTATTTTTGAAAAGGATAAAGTTCATTTTTGGTCCTCGCTCTTCGCTCAAAGTCTATTTTGCACCCTGAATTACAAACTAGTTTTGTTCACCCTTAGCTTTTAAAACAGATAAATAGCACATATAACCCTATTTGACGGTGGTTTTGGTTGATATGACATTGATCTTTTGCTAGCATAAACTTCAATTAAGTAAGTATTGTCATGGTCCTAATTAAGTGATATTTGCATTAACAAAATATACATTAGAGTATGAACTAGGAGAACCATACTTTCAAGAAAAAAAAACACTAACAAACATGTCTTTGATTTTTTTTGACCGGTTTTGAAAACTAAAGGAGAAAAATAAACCGTTATTTGTAGTTAAGGGTGACAAATAGACCATCAGAGAAATTTGAGGGCTAAAAACGGACTTTAACCTTTTCTAAAAACTATTGTAAGAAATGCAGGTGCATTGAAAATTTTAAAGAAACACACCAAATCAAATCCTTTGAATGAATTAACTATGTATAGGTATTTATTATATTTTATTAATGAGAAAATGAAAACATGTGTATGTGAGTTTTTTACGGCAGTGGCATTTAGTTGAATCCAGATGGCATCAGGACAATATGATTTTGCACAGATTACAATTTGACAATTCGATCATATGACAATAGCAAATATACAAATTTCTCAAAAATATTAGCGGTGAAATAATTTGACAATAGAGGAGCTATCTTATAATGAGCACTATGGCCAAGTCCTTTTTAGCTTATTTACTGGATATATGAAATGATTTATTTCTTCACGCTTTAAAAATATGTTTTCTTAAAAAGTTCCTGCTTAGACATTTACTTTAAATTACCTTTTAAGCTTATTCCTTAAAATATTTAATTTTTCCATCTGGTCAAATCACTGTATAATATGTGGCAATAATGTAGCTAGATTATCTAAATCAAATGGGGTAGATATACCTTGTAAACTTCTCCATACCCACCACTGCCAAGTTTGTGCTTTTCTGAGAAATTGCCTGTAATTTTTTCTAATAGAGCAAATGAAATATCCCTTGGCCCTTCCGACTTGTCTTCCATGCTATTGGCCTCAGACCTACTTGACCTCTTCGCTCCCACGTCCCTTTCAACTAATACAATTTTTTTATGAGTACATTATACAGTATATGGTTAAAAAAAATGCATGGTGCATAAACTTCATGAGCAAAAAATGATGAAAAGCTAATGAAAGAATATTTTGGTCACAAAATTTTAAGAGTAAACAGCCACTGAGTGTACGGAAGAGTTATCCCCTACCACACTAGTTTGTTCTTTCCCTAGTATGAACGGAAACTACAGTACTGATTGCCTTGTAACGTTTTATTAACGGAAACTATTATAAGCAAAGGTATGAGATTGACCCTACTATTACTAATAAGAATCTAAATATATATCCAACACGATGCTTGTATGATCTTAAAATCCTAGATTAATTGTATCATCTTCGTCTTCATGTAATTGTTTGAGATCAATAAATCTCATTTTACCCAAAACATTGATCTTATGTATTCTTATAAAATCTATCTTATAATCTTATATGTTGGTTCGTCTCAAGACGTTAATTGAACTACCCTAAGCCGTATGTGAACACAAAACATATGATTGTAAAAATACAGGAAAAACAAAGGAATGACCGTTTGATTAAACCGCAGGAAAAACGCAGGAATTAGATGAGAGAGATAGACTCAAAGGAAAGTTGTCAAGAGGTTGAAGCTCTTGCTAAATTTTCTCCAAAATCTCTATAAGATTGTCCATTCCATAGAAATCTCAAAGGATTGGATATGATTCAATCCTTTGTTTTAAAGGGCTCCATAGAAAATTTTTCTATAGGATTGAAATCTTCCAAAATTCCTATGTTTTTCCTTCAAATCAAAGGGGCCCTTAATATTTATAGTGTAATTTCTTTCGTTGTTAAGAAGAGTGGGTCCTAGTCATGTCCGCTTTATTTTTAACCCACGGCTGATATCCACCTTTTTTTCTTTCATCTCCATTACGTTTTGCCACAGTCGGACTCAACAGAAAGTTTTGCTACACCCCAAAAGTTAGCTTAAGAGACAATGGATTTCCCCACGATCAAACTCATCAGCGCACGATCAATATGTCAGCCCAACTAGAAAGACTTAATGCATCCCAAAAGCTAACCCATTAGCGCATGACCGATATGTTGGTCCAATCGGGAGAAAGCCTTGCTGCATCCCATCAGTGTTAAATAATTATTAAGTAATTATTCAAAAACTTTTGTGAAATATGTAAAACTATATGTATATATGTAAAAGTATATTTAACAATGGTAGAAAAAGAATTAATAATTACTTCAATTTTTTAAATAAGACAAACGGTAAAAAAAAGTTAACGACGTCAAATATTTAGGGACGGAGAGAGTACGAGAAAATTCGAAAGTAAGGAAACGACATAAGTGTTTTAAGCAGAAAGAATATACTCTGTTTCTTCCTAGTACGTATATATCTCTCCGTACGTAATCTCTAGAAAGAAGAAAGAAATCTAAATACTGAAGTAGTACTATATCAGTCTATCAGTATCTAGAAACGCATTATATAAAAGAAAAATTCCAGTATGCAACGAAAAAAAGCTTGGTATAAGAACAGATCTATGTCAACTAATCGATCGGAAAGTATATAATGCGTGTCCAATTAACCTTTCTTCCACAAATGGTTAATTTGAGGGGAATAAGTACCTAATTAGGAACGGTTGGATATCCTTGGTCTGGCCGGCATGCAACTGCAACGGCTGACGGAGGAGAAAGATCGAGCTATGTCGTCCCGGCCTTGGTTGCTCGAATCCTATAATACTATACAAGTGATCCTATGTAGGGTGTAATTAATATCCTAACTATATCTTGTATATAGAAGATGCAAGGCGGGGGTGGGTGCGCACGCGCGAGGAGAAGGATCGAATTAAGGTGACTTATCAATCCTCGGTTAGAAATTTGACCTGTCGTGGTCAAGTAGACAATGCAAGTACCAATAATTAAGCAGTTGCATAATTGCATCAACATTTCACTCTCAATTATAATAGATAATTAATTTCTTGACCATGATCAAGTTATTTGTCATGTTTTAGCAAATAAAAGGTAGGTGTGAGTCTTTAACTGCCTTTTGGTCGGACGATAACTGTAATTTTATCCCGCACGTTTTGGATGTGGATGAGTAATACATCTTCCTTTCCCCGAAAAAAAAAACTACATGCATGCATATGCAGGTGCATGTACGTGCGATTAGCCGGGGTCAAAGTCCATGCAAGAAACCGGTGTGGGTGCTAATCTTTAATTTTGTCCACGTTATCTACTAAAACATTTAGAGGTAGTGTATACAATACGTTATCTCTATATAGTAATTAACTCTAATACACAGCCACAGTGTTAATTTATTCGTCCATCTACTCTTCCTCTCTCTCTCCTTAATTTTATCTTGAAGTTTATATAAAAATTGTAGGTAGAAAAAGATGTTGTAAGTGGGTTATAGGAGTTGCCACCTCACATTTTTTCTAAGTTAAAAGAAAGAGAAAAGGAGAGCGAAAGAAAACGGGTTACAAATATGTAGTCAACAGTAACGCTCTATAAGGCTTTGTGGAGAGAGTTAGCTGTAGGACTAATTACTACTCCCACCGTCTTATAAAATAGAGGATTTTGGAGGAAGTCGAACTCCTATGCTTTCAAGTAAAAGCTTGACGTGACGCCTTTGGTCCAAAATAGTTCTAGATGTGTCGCATCCCTCTAAAATCTTTTATATTTTGGGACAGAGGAAGTATTGATGTAGTATGAATATGTAGCTAACTATTATATAGATATGCTACATAGATTAAAGATGATATGGCAATAGATAGAGTAAAGCATGGTCTCTCTCCTCTATTCTACTCTTATCCGTATCATCAAGTTCTTATTGTAATTTCTCTAATTAATACTTCTTCCATCATAAAATATAAGCATTTTTTGAGTTTTTCACTGGGATCGAGTAAGAAGAGGGATGAAATTAAATGGAAAGGACTATGATTAGTCGAGATTATAGGAAGTAAATAGAGGAATTGAATGAGAGATGGTTGTATATAGCAGAAATAATTAAGAAAGCAGCTGGAGAAGTGGGTATATTTATAATAAAATTTGAACGTTAAAGTTGCAAAATTTCAAGACGAAGGGTTCGAGTAAATAACAATATGAACATCAACAAGTTGCCAAACCTAACGATATGATAGTATTAATTTATCCAGCTAACAATTTATGATCCTAGCTTGTTGCTTCGTAAGAACAAGAGAATTGCTAGGAATCAATTGGAATACTCCCAAATCATTAGCTCGCTTATGTACCTGGCTAGTGCAACTAGGCCTGATATCTCCTTTGCTGTGAGCAAGTTGAGCCGGTTTACCTCTAACCCGGGAGATGATCACTGGCGTGCGCTTGAGCGAGTAATGCGCTATCTGAAAGGTACTATGGAATTGGGGCTTCACTATACTGGGTATCCTGCAGTACTGGAGGAATATAGTGATTCTAACTGGATCTCTGATGTGGATGAGATCAAAGCCACTAGTGGATATGTCTTCACACTAGGTGGTGGTGTTGTTTCATGGAGGTCTTGCAAACAGACCATTTTGACGAGGTCAACCATGGAAGCAGAGCTGACGGCACTGGATACTGCTACTGTTGAGGCAGAATGGCTGCGTAATCTATTAATGGATCTGCCTATTGTTGAAAAACTGGTGCCGGCTATTCTTATGAACTGCGATAATCAGACGGTAATTGTCAAAGTGAACAGTTCTAAGGATAATATGAAATCGTCTAGACATGTGAAAAGACGATTGAAGTCTGTCAGGAAATTGAGAAACTCCGGAGTTATAACATTGGATTACATCTAAACAGCTAGAAACCTGGCAAATCCCTTCACGAAGAGACTATCACGAAATGTGATAGACAATGCATCGAAGGAGATGGGTTTGAGACCCATATGAGTTATACTATGGTGGTAACCCAGTCTATGTGATCGGAGATCCCGTGAATTAGAACCTGGGAAGAACAAGCCATTAGTTAACTACAGAAGAGTACCATTCTATACCTTCTCTAAGTGAAGATGCATGTACTCTTGTGAGCTGTAAGGCAGATTGGCTATGCCTTAATGAGTTCTGTTGGCTTTAATTAGCGAAGATGCTCCTGCAGAGCATTCTTGAAAGAAGTCACCTTTGTGAGCTTGACTATTGGTCACAGTCTATGAAGATGTTGGGTGAATCTTCTAGGAAGCTTACTAAAGACCAAGGAGTATGGCTTATACGCTCCACCCGAGGGGTAATCTACAGACGGTCTAGTACCAGATAAGGCTCTGAGTGAAACTTGCTTGCACAAGACTTACAATTCAAGGCGTAGTCCATTGTTCAAGTTGTGAGTATGTGTAGATTGGAGTTCTAGGTGGATGTTCAACCTTAATTGGTCTCCATCGAACCGCTAGTATATAAACAGTACATTGGAAAAGGCAAATCTCAGTGGGATTTTGAGCTTTGGTGGGGGATTGTTGGAATTAATAGATGGGGCTTAGCCCATTCGAAGATTAATTCTTTAGAAAATCACAAAAGCCTACCTCATGGGATGGCATGCATGGGGAGTTTAGTACCACCTTGCATATTCTAGGAGAATGGGACCTCCTTAAAAGGGAGGATGCCCTCCTAGCCACTTGAAGCATATGTGGTGGAGAGAAGAGGGGGAACACAGGCGCGCGCTCGCTCGCCTGGCCTGGCCTGGGCAGGGCAGGGCAGGCGGCGCGCGTACACGATGTACGCGTCGAATGGTCTGCAAAATTGGCTCATCACCCTTGCGCAGATGCAGCCTCCTTTTACAGTTTTGTTTTGCTGCAGGAAATTCGGATTTGTTTTTGTTTTAGAAACATTCCGAAAAATCCGGTCCGTGAAAACGGCGTGGAGTCCGGATAAATTACGCGCGACTTATCCGGTTCGGTTACGCGGAGTGGAGATCGTGCAGACGCCCTGATCAAGCGACCCTTCTCTATATAAACCGAGCCGCCGTTTCCACGCAACATACGCGAAATCAATCTAGGGTTTGCCTTCTACTCTGTGCTGCGCCGTCGCTCGTAGATTACTCCATCCCGCTCGCCGGCGTGCACCGGCGATCGGGAGAGCAGGTCTCCGGAACCTCTGCCTTCGACGTCCTGCACCGGGAGAAGGCGGCAATAAGGTTTTTGGGAGACGAGGGAGAGAGAGAGAGGTGGCGTTGTGCCTGTTTGCCCTCTCTCAGATCGGCGCCACCGCCAACCACTCACTCGCTATCGCCAAGATCGAAACTGATCGGCTGCACACTCGCTCTCCCTTGCAAAGATCGATGCCGCCGCACCTCATCTTGGCGATCACCCTATTTTCTCGCTCAATATGCGCCAATCACCTCTCGGACAAATCCACCACAACCCCTCCCTCCCAGCCTTAGCTACTCCAAGATAGCCGCCACCGCTCCTTCCCACAACCAATTTGATAAAGAAATCAATGCAATTGTCTTTTTTTTTTTGGTTTAATCTACCACAGGTAATGCTCCACTTCCAAAATTACCTGACAACTACAACTTACTGTTTTTGAAGATAGCTGCTGCGTTGAAAGAGTCTGGTCTTGGATCTTCTTGGTTTTGACTTGACCAAAAGCAATGGATAGTCAGGTCTATATTACTGTTTCATGTTGCACGCACTAGTTGTTTCTTTTAAGACTTTCTATCAATTGTACTTGAGTATCCGTTTTAAAATTCTATCAATTTTAAACAAACATTTTTTTCTGCTGAATTTCTGCAGGCACATATTCCTTTAGAAGAAAAATCTTCGCATGCTTTGCTTTGTTGAGTTGATAAACTGGGTCAAAACGGGAGACCTAATGTGCAAGCCTTGACTCTTCTTGACAGATGACAGATTTTGTAACTATCTGAATTTGTCGTATGAAAACTACAGATTTCATTCTCACAGGCATAATTGCAGACTATCAATACTTTGAAAGGGTAGCTTTGTCCAGAGGTTCGTAGTAGGTATAACATTTTTTTCTCGAGTACGGTAGGTCGATAGCATTTATCTACTCATTTTGGTGATTTTAGTTAGTTGTGACAACATGAGCAGCGATCAAGAAGAAGAAAGAGCATGAATTCCATGACTAAATCTTGTGGTCTATTTTGTAAATCCATTACCTCAGCACCCGACCTGCATATCATAACTGAATATCCACCTATTATTGTCACCAAAATGAGTAGAAAATGCTATCGACCTACCGTACTCGAGAAAAAAATGTTATACCTACTACGAACCTCTGGACAAAGCTACCCTTTCAAAGTATTGATAGTCTGCAATTATGCCTGTGAGAATGAAATCTGTAGTTTTCATACGACAAATTCAGATAGTTACAAAATCTGTCATCTGTCAAGAAGAGTCAAGGCTTGCACATTAGGTCTCCCGTTTTGACCCAGTTTATCAACTCAACAAAGCAAAGCATGCGGAGATTTTTCTTCTAAAGGAATATGTGCCTGCAGAAATTCAGCAGAAAAAAATGTTTGTTTAAAATTGATAGAATTTTAAAACGGATACTCAAGTACAATTGATAGAAAGTCTTAAAAGAAACAACTAGTGCGTGCAACATGAAACAGTAATATAGACCTGACTATCCATTGCTTTTGGTCAAGTCAAAACCAAGAAGATCCAAGACCAGACTCTTTCAACGCAGCAGCTATCTTCAAAAACAGTAAGTTGTAGTTGTCAGGTAATTTTGGAAGTGGAGCATTACCTGTGGTAGATTAAACCAAAAAAAAAAAGACAATTGCATTGATTTCTTTATCAAATTGGTTGTGGGAAGGAGCGGTGGCGGCTATCTTGGAGTAGCTAAGGCTGGGAGGGAGGGGTTGTGGT